GCTCACTTGAAATGTACTCTCCCGCTGGCAGCGGGTTGCATGATTGGCAGTTCACTTGAAATATACTCTCCCGCTGGCAGCGGATTGCCCAGTTGGAAGATTACAAAAAATGTGCTCCCCCGCTCCCCCCGCTAACAACGGGTTACCTGATTGGCAGCTCACTTGAAATGTACTCTCCCGCTGACAGCGGATTGCCCAGTTGGCAGATTACTAAAAATGTGCTCCTCCGCTAGCAGCGGGTTACCTGATTGGCAGCTCACTTGAAATGTACTCTCCCGCTGGCAGCGGGTTGCGTGATTGGCAGAAATGTACTCCCCCGCTGGCAGCGGATTGCCCTGTTGGCAGATCACTAAAAATGTGCTCCCCCGCTAGCAGCGGGTTACCTGGTTGGCAACTCACTTGAAATGTACTCACCCCCTGGCAGCGGGTTGACCAGTTGGCAGATCACTAAAAATGTGCTCCCCCGCTAGTAGCGAGTGACCTGGTTGGCAGCTCACTTGAAATGTACTCACCCGCTGGCAGCGGGTTGCCTGATTGGCAGTTCACTTGGACCGTGCGTGTCTGCGAACGCACTGAGCAGAACGCACTCACTCCCTCCGAACATGGACACCGGTCAGTTGAACCTCTTGAGGGTTGTGCACGCCTAACACACTCCCTGAAAAAGMCTCCCCCCTCTGTTCTCCCTGCCTCTCTCATCGACTTTTCCACGTCTCTCCTCACCGTCTCTCACTCTCGGGTTCAGACTCTCGCACACACCGCCATCACAACAGCAGCTGCAGCTCACGAACGACACGGGTTCTCCAGACACGCCGCACCTCCTACTGCGTGTGGGCGGGGAACGCCTTGCACGTCTCTCCCGCTGATCCACACGAGCATCCCCCCACACGTTGCTCGAGTTGCGAGGTGGGCCGGGTACACCTTGCCCACCTCCTTCAATGCCTCCCCGTCTGAATCCCCCCAGCTGTTCGGTGACCTTCCCTATATGATTCCAGTACCAGAGACTGCAGCCTCAAGTGAGCACCGTCCCGGCTAACTTTGTCACCCCCAAGCTCTGTACCAGCGGGTCTCGAGGCCTGTTAGCAAGTAGTGGGTGGTATCCGCCCCATAATTCAGAAAAGGTACCACCATAATCCGATATACCACGGCAGCAGCTTTGCTGCTATCACATCGGCGTCCAGTGGTAAGATAATTGGGCCAGATTTCATGACGCGGCACCAGTCCCATACCAGCGACCACCGAGTCCAACACTGAACCTGAACCAACCCGTCTTGAGCTGCAGTGACTGGCGCCATTTCATTTCCGGACGGATACCGAACCTAAATTCAATGCAGCAACACGCATCACACCGACGCGGAGCTGATAATTACGTCGATGTCGTACCTAGGGTTTTCACTCGTTGTCGCTGTGACTCATACCATACCTAGGCCGAACCGGAACCAAGTCTGGGACACGTCGAATATCGAGCTAATGTTGAGCCTGAAAAATGTCGGAGTCGTACCAATACCGAGCCTGAAATAGGTAAATTACCGTACAACGCCGCAATTCCATGATAGTACCGATCCTCAGAATATGTCGACGCGGCCAAACTCGAGCCTAGAATGAGTCAAATGCCGAATGATTATTGAGTCTGAAATACGTC